ATGTGGACCAGCAGCACTGGAGGCCTATCAGTTGAGCTGGGAGTGATTGATGGAAGAGAACACGCTGCTGGCCAAGCTGCTGTTTACCGCGGTGTTATTAAGCCTGGTGCTCGACGGTTTCAGCCTCATAAATGGGCCTCGGAGAATGTTTTTTTTTTTAAAAAAATGAGACTGATGGTGGTGTGGGAACAATGTGAGAATAATTCAGCACTTTTTTTTCATATCATTAAAGTGTCAACAGAGAACCCAAGCGGTGTTGGTGCAGCTGCAGCAAAGGCTTGATCGCTTTGTGTTAAATCTGTTTGTTTGATCTGTATGAAAATGTAAATGTGCTGGTTCTGGTTTGCTGCCAGACTTTGTTTTGGCCACATCTGGCAGTTTCCACAACTTGACATTTTACATGTTGGCTTTCGTAGATATTACACGTCATGTGTTGTGGTGAGCTTTGGAGGTGGTGGCAGACATTGTTTGGTTACCGTTTTATCACACTCACCAGATGTACATGGCAGATAGAAGTTTGCAATGTAAAAATAATAAAAGCTCAGACATTTCTTCTCCCTTTAAATGCGTTGCCATTTTCAAAATCCCCTTTTGCGATGGGAAACAACATCAGGGCAACAACCTACCACCAGTTGTGCTTAAGGCAGGCCTGCTAGGTCTTTTTGGTGAGGTTTCCATTTTAATGACAGTGTTCGTTTCTATGGATGCAAATGTTCCACCAAAACAATTTGTAGTTCTGAGTGAATGCCATTGCAGCAAACCAAAGGACACCCATCAAAGCTTTCCTTTTTCTTTTTTACCCCTATAGCAGAATGGTGACGTGGTGCAGTCAGACCATTCTACACTATGTCAGCACTAGAGGATGGTCTGGCTATGTGAGACTAGTTTAGACTGAGCCTGTTTCCAGACTTGGTTAAGCTGCATTGATTGATATTTAGCATATATGGGATGTATGTTTCATCAAACTCACTTAGAAAGCTGTCATTTCCAACAATACCAACCTGTTCTTTTAAATTACTCTCGTCGATTTTATGATGATGATGCATTTGCATTTCAGCCTTATATCAACTAAGGTAGATGAAATGTCAAAGCCATGAGCACTGGTTACACATAGCAGATATAATTTCTATGAAAATACTGAGAAAAAACATTTGTAAAGGATTTCTACTGTAAAATCGCTCAACTCATGGCAGAATGTAAAGCTTTGAGAACAAGCTTGTTTCCCACAGTCTTTCTGAGAAAACACTGTGTTTACCCCTTCACCTTGAGGCGATTCTCACTGCATTTTGAATGCATTCTTTGTCAACATGTGAACACTGAAAGCACTGTTGCATCGAGCTGAGCTTGAACGCGGTTTCTCCTCGGGAATGAGCCATGTACGCTGACATTTTATTTATAAATGAGGTTATGGAACCACATCTGATCCTCATAACCTCCATCACACCCCTCACCCATCCATGACTCCCCGGCCTTGTTTGGACATCACAATGACGGTTTATGGTTTCCTTCTTGGAGCTCTACAACCGGCTCCACCCAGCCCGTGCCCTCCACATGCCCCTGCAGGGTTGGCATCGACACACACGCAGAAACACACACCGCTGTGACCTGAATACCAGGCCCACACATGACCCTCACTCAGAGCGGCCCCTACCTCTGACTGTCATCTATCTGCTGGGTATTGATCACCATTTGATCCCACACAGCTGCCACTTATTTCATGATGTATGGAAGGTTTGCGTGTGTCCTGAGGGAACATATGTCCAGCACACGTACCTGAACACTTGATACCTGTTGCTAGCTACCATCCCACCCTCATATCTCACACACACACACACACACACACACAGAGCTTTGTTGCCCAGGTGTAGTAGTGAGAGCGTAACCAGAGCGACATGCATGGGTGCTCTGACATCACCATGACGCAGACGCACATACACAATACAGTCTTCTACATGTATATACCTATGTAAAGGTGTGTGTGCGTGTGTGTGTGCGTGTGTGTGTGTGGTGACACCAGGTCCAGTGAATAGAGCTTCATCTGCCCGTTGTCATACTGAAAGGCTTTGCAGCGGGCCGCTTCCTCCATTAATCTGTCTCCTTTTACCAGAGCTGTCAAGACCACAGCATGTGTGTGTGTGTGTGAGTGTGTATTTAAGCATGTGTACTGTACCACACAATGTGTTCATGTGCCTTCCTGTGTCAGTGTGTGTGTGTGTGTGTATTTGTGTATGTGTGAGCACACCATGTAATATTTCACTCCTTCCCCTCGGGGATTAGACCATTCATCTCCCGAAGCCCCTGTGTAGGTGTCTCACACAGCGCTAATGAGGAGAGGATGGAACAAGGGAGAGTTGGCGAGCAAGGAGGGAAAAAGTAAAAATAGATTTTTCGGACGGCAGAAACGGAAGGCGACAGTGATCGATAATTTCTGCGCCAGAAATCGAAGTATTGATGAATGAGGGATTTTCATGCCAGGAGCGATGGGAACGTGGGCGATTGTGGAGCTTTAAAAAAAGACAGAGAAGGTAGGGATTAGTGCTTGTAGCCCTACAGGGAGGGAAACAGTTAAGAAATAGAGTTTTTTTGGTTTTTTTTGCTGAGAGCAAAGGCAGGAACTCTTCCCATAACACAAATCAATTTACACCAGCCCAAGACATTGATTATAGCTGGCTCATACCTCGCATGGTAACAGCAGACATCAAACAGACACTGTCAAGCCTGTAAAACCATACAACGGGGGCATTATCTGCCTTTCGCTGTGTGTGTGTATGTGTGTGTGTAGCGCCTGCGTGCGTCTTGTTAGTGTATGTGTGTGTTGTTCAGCAGACCAGATATCTCTCCGCTTCCCCAGTTACTCAAACAAGGGGATGGCTGCTAGGCAACCAAGCCACATCACATCACATCAGGCAAGCCGGGAGAGAGCGAGAGACATAGAGAGACTGAGAGGGAGAGAGAGAGAGAGAGAGAGAGAGAGGAGGAGGAGGGAGTTTGGAGGCAGAAAACTGTGCTGGCAGTATTACATAAGCCGGCAGCCCAGTCCCACTGCTCACATTAATGTGGTTAGGCACTCGGAAGTGATGTCCATTAGTCACAAGTGACAAGGCAGGTGAAGATGCGGCATCCAGCAGTGATTTTTAAAAGCCATTGTTATTTATAATGGAGAGCATTATGAACAGATGAGTCAAAAAAAACACACACACACACACACATATGAGCGGATGAGTCGCCTACTGTACCGTACAAACAGAACAGGGACTGATAACACTCCAGAGGGACCATTTAAAACAAACACACATGCATGAAGATACATAATGCGAAGGTATATTGTGTGAAAACACATGCACGTACACACACATAAGGATGTCATATGGATTGATATGTGGGACGCCTCTTTGTGAAATTATATGAGCTCTCATTCAAAGATGAGAAGGAGGGAGTGTGTGTGTGTGTGTGTGTGTGTGTGTGTGTGTGTGTGTGCATAAAAGCTGTGTCAATCAACATGATCATCAAAAATACATCAAAGGCTGAAATAACGATCAAGTGGTGCTGCTGCAGTAACTGACAGCCTATACGTTATCTACCCATCGGCAAATCTACATATATGGAACACAACAATATACATTCTATGTCAAGATGCAACCAGCACATCTCTGTGATTCATGACCCCTTTAAGTGATACCCAGTGATTCTGATGATTAAAAATGTTACTCATCATTTGTCACTAACTGCAAAAAGAAATCTGACTTTTGTACTAATAACTCCACAGGAGATGTACAGTGTTACAATACTTACATCAGAAAATAGTTTTTTCTATTCATCCCTCTTTCATCTGCAAAGATCTGAAGCCCGTCTGTTACTTTGTCTGCACAAACAGTGTGGATGTCCAGCGCTGATGTTACTGTTTGCATGTAAATGTCCGATGATTAGGAAAAATGTGTCATCATTAAAAATGGATGTTGGGAATGTTCAGATATAATATTTGGGGGACAAATAAACTGAGATGGTGACAGTAAAATGTCACTGAGAGCCAATGAAACTGAAAAAGTCATTTGTTACATGTCTTCACCTTTAAAGTATAATTGTTGAAGGAATGCCTAAATTTTTTTTGAATACTCAAACTGTTTTCTTGCAGAAAGTAAGATGAGAAGATTGATTGCACTCGTAGAATAGAATGAAGCTACAGTTAAGCCCAAATAATTCATAGACTGAATTTTGAATGATGGTATTTATTTATTTTTTTTACCAAGAAGTTTCTTCTACGGTTCGTGTTAGAAATGCTATTGATGCATTTGAATCATTTCTATGTTTTTCTTACATTTTTACCAGAAAAAAAAAGCCACGTCCTAAATTATTTATACTGTTCCTCAGTAATCAATGGCAAATATTTTGTTTGCCTCCACATCAATTCTTGCAGGAGTCACGTTTGTCTTTCTATCACGCCCGATGAGTTGTTCACAGTGTGGGATTCCTTGTACTTTTTGGTGAGACTTGGCCACTGGCACTTTGAAAACACCTGGAATGACTTTATAGCCTTTTTTTTGTCTGTGAGCAGCCACAACGTGCAGTTCTCACTTAATGATGGACCTGAACTGTGCTCACTGAGCTCTTTGGTTTTAACCATTAATAACCGTCGACTACAAAACTATCAGCTGTTCTCACTTCACAGTGTATTTAAATGTTCTAGAACGTGATAGAAATGACCAGAACTATCATGTATAGTAGCTCGTTGCAACAATTTCAAGGGCCATGAATATTCTGGGCATTTTTAGTAAAAAAACTAAAAATAGGCAAAACACATCATTAGCATCTCTACAACAAGGTCCTACCATCCTTTGTGACATGTTTATGTCATTTCTTGCCAGAAGAAATTTTGGCCTTGGAATAAATAACTTTGGGCTTAACTGTACATCCAGGAGACTGTTAACTTAGCTTAGCTTAGCTTAGCTTAGCTTAGCATAGGATTGGTAACAGGGGGAAATAGCCGGCCTGGTTCTGTCCAGAGGTAACAAAATCCATCACCAGCACCTTTAAATCCCATAAATTAATACATTACTTCTGACTGGATAATTCATACGGAAACTGAAATGTAAAACCACAATGTTGTGGTTTTATGGGGGGTGTTAGCTAAGTCATCCGCATACAGGCTTTAGCTTCATGTTTACAGGACAGATGTGAGAGTGGCATCAATGTTTTCATTTCCTTCTCTGCAAGAAAGCCAACTCACCTATTTTCTAAAAACAGACTTTTCATTTAAAGTGCATTTTCCCATTGCTTTTCATTTTCATTAGCATTCCTTCTAGCAAAAGGCCAATTCCTTCACTCTAACCCAAACCTCCACCCCACCCCAGCCCAGGCCTCTCAGATCTCCCGGGGGATGATGGTGAAGGGTCGGATGGGGCAGGAGGCCTCCAGCTCCAGGGCGGTCAAGAAGCAGTCGGGCGCCTGGCTGGAGTCCCGACACTGCAGGGCCTCGCCCAGGCCGCTCCACGCCTCATGGGAGGTGCTGTGAACCTGAACTGCATCACGCAGGACCTTCTCACCCAGATGCACACGCCCGGTTTTTACCAGCAGATGACCCTAGATGGACAGATTGATGGAGATGTGCAGAAAAATAAGTTCTGAATTAATGCTTCCAGACAATAATTTATTTTAAGGCTCACTAAAGGTGAAGTATGCAATTCTGGTAGAAAGCTTTTTTATATTTAGTTTGCTAGAATATTTAGATCGATTTACTGATCCCCTTGTTCCCACTACCCCCTTTTACCCCATATCTGAACTGTGAGACCATATTCTCTGACAGAAAGTGTACTGGATCAGAACTGCATACTCCATCTTTGATGCATCTTTAGATTTAGTCAAGTCAAATATTCATAGAAAGAAACACACTAAATTTAAATAAACTGAATTAATCTCACATCTGTAGCAGGATAAATGCTGACCTGTGCCATAATCTAGTTCACACAATTCAGAATATTGACCTAACCTCAGCACCTTGCTCCTCATATTTTATTTTGTAAAAGTCTAACATTAAAACATTCTTCAAGCCGCGATAAAATCAAGTAAACAGATGGCAGCTTTCTGCGAAACCACCCAAATCTTGGATTATCATGCTTGCTGCCCTGTGGACTAGTTCAGGATGACAGAAAACAAAACAGTAACAACAACCTTTACTACACTTTACTAGAGCCATATTTAACTGAGATTGTACAACTGAAGGGAGAAAATCCACGAATGATGAGATTAGGAGCAACCCTCTGCAAAAATGATGATGCAGTATGTTACGAGTCAGGCACACAAATGCCAGCATGCAAGAGTGATGAAAGCCGACGCTGTGTTTAGGGTCAGAGCAGAGGCTGCTGGAAGGAATCCTTTAAGCAGATGCAAATTATGTGTGCTTTACGTTACTGATGATTTGAAACAGCATACCCTCGCTTTCTGGATTAGTAAGCTGTGTTTTTTCTACCTTCAGGCAAACGCTTCTAGTTTTACTGGTGTTACTTAGTGAAATGTAAATAAAGGATAGAGTCCAACTTACTGCAACTTTAATTTTGCTGAGATAGCTAATCTATCACACTGTACTCTCCCTTTCTTGTATTTACAACAACCAACAGACCCTACAGATACAAAACCAAAGTTTTATGGAAAACATCCAGGTGGGTGACAAATTAAAGGAACACCCTAAACCCTTGACCTCTGTAGGATCAGGAGGTTCAGTGATGCTGTGGGAGGCATTTTGCAGGCATCATTTGTTCATTTAGAGAGTTTAGAACAGTGTTCCAGAGACTTGGAGAAACAATTTCAAACCAAACTGAAGCTGTTCTGGTGGCCTGAACACCAGATGAAGACACTTCATGTTGGCCTTTCCTTCAACTTTTTAGGTTTGTACTTCTCAGCAAAAAAAAAAAAAAAAAGTCATCTGTGCTGGTGGCATGTGGTGGCTGAACACTGCCTAACAAAACTAATTACATTACTGTACTAACTACAAGTTTTAAAAAAAAATCTTTCCTTCAAAGGTGCCCCCTCAAAAAACTGCAACTAATCTACATCCACATGTGACTAATTCTGTATGTAAGAGTGACAGAGAATTAAAAAAGGAAATATTCTGGTTTAAAACTCAGCCAGCTCTCCTGTGGGGGTATTTATGAACCAACACCTTGCTTAACCAAACCCCTGGTGACATTCTGGAAGTACTTTTCTATTAGTGATGCGACAGGTAGTCTTGCTAAGACAGACCTATCGCCATGGTGCTGTATCAGCCAACTTGCAGAAGGTGTTTCTGACAGTTACTGACAGTTCGGTTCCTCCCGTACTGGGCAGGATTGCTATTGCACCAACACATCATCAGGAGGGTAAAACTAACCTGTCTCACGACGGTCTAAACCCAGCTCATGTTCCCTATTAGTGGGTGAACAATCCAACGCTTGGTGAATTCTGCTTCACACTGATAGGAAGAGCCAACATGGAAGGATCAGAATCGCAGTTAATAGAGATGGCAGAGAAAACTGCATGAAATGTGTGCAGGGAAAAGACAAGATGATACCCGTAGTGTGCATCTGGTGAGTCAGACTAAACCACAGGGTTCACATAACATCCATCTCTGAGCAGAAGCAGGTAATTCCTTAATGTTGGTTTACCTGGGGTCAACGTTAGCAAAGACGCAACAAGTAAATAAAACAACTTGGTTTTAACAGGAAGCACATTTCTCCTCTTTAGTTGAGGTTAGCTACCTAAAGCACAAACCGATACTAAGCCTCCATCAAATTCACTGTGCTGCCTTGTGTCACTCAGAAAGACGTTCCCATCGCTTTCATGAAGCTCCAAACCTCTCCAAATTGTCTTACATACTGAACCTAAATTACAAGTCATGCAAATTCCACAGCTGGTATAAAAACTTGCTCAAACATTTACACACATTGTTCAGCTACAGAACATGTTATCCCAAAGTGCTCATTTGCAGTGGCGTGCTTAGCGCCTCCTGCCCAAGGCTGTGCCATGCAGAGAGGTGGGTATGCATGCAATCTCTACACTCACTGGTTCAACAGTGTTTGAATGGACGCTACACTCTTTATGTATGTGGCAGAATAAGCTGAGGGAGGCAGGAACAACAAGAAGCATGTAACTGGCATTTCACGTAAACCGAATAAATGTTTGTTTGGGCTCATGTCGGGGGTGTGTGTGTGTGAAAGACAGAATATATGTGAGAAAGAGAAGAATATTATGGATGATATCTGTTGTCACCATGTTAAAGGTCGACTGTGTGTGTGTGTGTGTGTGTGTGCATTCTGTCGCTTCAGAGCTCGGCTCAGCTATGGTGTTTTTGAGAGTCGAGCAGAAAAGGGCGGCACGCAACTGACCAACAGCATGGAGTCAAATCTGTCTCGCACACAAACACACTCTACAGGCACACACACACACACACACACACATAGGGAGGCTACAGTGTCACATGCACACTCAAGGTGACAACAGGCAGCCACTCTTGCACAATATCATCCCCTCCCTCACTTTGACGATCTGTTACGCGTGCACACACACACTCACACTCACACACACACACACACACACTGAGCTGGCCTGAGGTCAGACAGACGAGTCTTGTTATGCAGTCTCTGCTCACAAGCTCCAGATTAATTGGGCTGAAATTCACATAGCTGTCTAGGGGCTCTGATGCAACTTTCAATAAGAGCACACACACACCAACACACACACACATACACCCTCTCTCTTCCTTCTTTCCTCTGTTCTCCTTTTCCTCACTGCTGCTGTGAGGAAAACACAGAGGAACAACAAAACTCTTGGGTGCAGAGAAAACCTGTCACAGGATGTACACGCAGGTTTGCAAGCTCATGCTCACGCTGTGGCTCAGGTGGTGGAGCGGGTTGTCCACTGATGGCAAGGTTGGCAGTTCGATCAACCCCCTACATGCCGAAGTGTCCTTGGGCAAGACACTGAACCCCAAGTTACTCCCAATGGCAGATTAGCACCTTGCATGGCAGCTCTGTCGCCACTGGTGTGTGAATGGGTGAATGCGAAACACATTGTAAAGCGCCTTGGGTATCGCTAAGGTAGAAAAAGGCGCTATATAAGTACAGACCATTTACCATTTACCATGTGTGTCTATGAGAGTGTACACATGCTCTCGTGTAGGTGGGTGTATGCTCGAGGTGTGTGATGTATTCCTTGCTGCTGGTTTGACCACTAGCTTGCACATTTCACTGTCTGTGCTCTTGTCTCCAGCCTCATAGAGGTTACGTTGTTCCAACACTTCTGGCATAAACACAGTCGGCTACTGGACTAACACACACGCCGACTCTCACACCCTTCCATCTGTGTCAGTTATGCTGGTAACCACGGAAAGGTTGATGTGTCTATGTGAGCAGTTGAATCAAATAAACACGAGTGTATATACTATATAAACACAGGTGCGCAGTATACACACACACTAGAGAATGCTGGCTGGCAGTGAAACACTCTAACAAATGTTTCAGCATTTTAGGAAATGAGCATTTGTTTTGTTTTCAAGAGTAATATAAAAAGATCAATGTCCATGTCATAATTGTGCATCAAATACAGAACCAGATATAGGATGTGGTCAGTGTAGTGTAACTGGGGGGAAAAAGCTAAGCAGGCTCTGTTCAAGGAGAAAAAACGATGCCTACCACCCTCTAAAGCTGTCTAATTTCCACGGTTTATCTTGTTTGTCTAATCTGTACATGAGCAGAGATGTAAAAACAACAGTTTGTGATTAAGGGCATTCATGTTCTGAAGCTGTTTCTTAACAAACTGTTTATCCGTCTGCCCAGCCTACTCCTCTGCAGCGTCTGGCTGTACCGTGGATGACCAGTTATAAATCAGCATCTCAGGATTTGATCTCTAAAAGACGGCATCAAAACCCGACAACATTAAGCTCCAGTCATAACATCGTTTAAAACTTTTATGCAGGAGAATACATGCTTTTCAGTGGGATTGTTGCAATTAATGGATTTGCTTGCAGGTGTGAGGCAGAAAGTCAAGTTCAATTTTGCTTAAGTTTGATTTGCAAATCTGCAGCACTGCCTATTGTAAACTGTCTCTACATGGCTGGTCTCTGAAAGTGCTGGGAAATCCAAAACAGACAAAGCTATATGCCAAGTTGCTAATGTTTAGAGTACATACAACATGGCCATATATCCATTGTGCCATTCATGAAAGAGACAGCACATCAAATAATGTCATAGCTTCAGCTTGGTAACTGAGTTAGTTAGTTCAAGGCTGGAGCTAAGAGGGGCCAGGCCCAACACAGAACAAAGTCTGGCCACCCCACATGACCGATCATTAAACCTGTTAGAAGGCGACACACACACCCATAAATCCAGTAACTATTATTTCTCACTTTTCTGTGGAACCATTTCTCTTTGGCTGCTGTCCCATAGACGCATTTAAAAAACCTAACCTTTCATATGCAAATAATATGGTTAGAGATTCTCTTATTACAGTGTGAATGATTAAGGTTGTACATCTGAAGAGACTCTTGAAAACTGCGGGGATGAAACCAATTTTGAAGACATCTGGAAACAAGTGGTACAAACTGCTGAAAA